GGGGGGGGGGGGGGGGGGAGTTGCTAATCTTTCCAGTCGGAAATCGAATTCTCTACAACAATTGTCTATTGATATTTACTTTTAAAGTCACCCATTATGGAGCCAATTCAACAATTAACAGCTATTGAAGTCGACTCGAATGCAATGCTGCTAATAATTAATTAATCATCTCCGTAAGATATTTTATGAGAAAACGTCATTTGATATTCTCTCCTAAACTACCTTATCGAAACAGTTGAATAATTAACAATCATTATAAAAATCAACTTAGATGAATGAATTTGACTACTTAGTTGATCGAAATACATCATCTCATCAATTTTCAGGTTTCACCTATGAACAGTTCGACCAATTTCTTGCGCGAGGACTCCCCCTGGCCATATACATCGGCTTGGCCTCCCTTGGCTTCACCGTAGCCGACGCCATCACTCACTCGATTCTATCAAACAAACCCACCACTACAAGACTCTTCACCTTCCTCACCACTACCCTTTACACCATTGCCGTCTGTTTCCTCTTCGCCATGAGTGCAGTCTCCTTCTCCAGCCTTCATCCATCCCAGAATGCGACAGTTCCAATCCAACTCTGTTCCCTCCACTCGAAAATCAACAGTCTTCACATCGTCAACGGTCCCAAGGACTTCGCCCTCTTCCCCAAGATGACTGGAGTCAACGGACGTCCTGAAATCATCATTGAGGGTAGCAATAGCATCGAGGGACCCTGGAAGGAGTACGAGTTCCTGTACAAACCTGGAAATGTCAATAATTCGCTTCCCTTCGTGGCTCCACATACCCCCAGACTCGACTGGCAAATGTGGTGGGCAGCTCAGGGCACCTATCACCAGAACCCCTGGCTCATGTCCCTGACTTATCGTCTCTTGACAGGGCAAAAAGAGGTGACATCACTCTTGAATAACGTGGAGAAACCCTTCGGCAATAGCCCTCCCAAATATATCAAAGCGACTCTCTATCATTATCATTTCGCCCCCTGGAGGAAATCACTGAATAAACAGAGCTGGTGGACCAGGGAAAAGGTCGGCGAGTATTTCCCAATCTTCAGTCGTGATCATCCACCTCTACTCGAGTATCTAAGCAAAATGAAGATTCTAAAGGACGAGAAAGTGGTGGCAGTTACTAATGAGGTCTTGAAGAGTCTCCTAGGGGCGATTAGGGCAGTTGTAAATAAGATCGAGGCGAGTTTGTTGCTGTGGAGTGTATTCACTGCTGGGTGTGCAATTATCATGACGGGAAATAGTTCCGGGAGGAAGTAGAGGGAATGATTGATTGAGTGATTAACGAGGAAATTGTTGGGTTTAGAAAATTTTGAGAGACGTTTTTTGAAGATTTCGTTTTCGGTATTAATGAACCAGATAATTGCATTATTCATTGAAGAGATGAAAAGAGTCTCATTCATTTTTTTCTACAGATTCTATGAACTTTGAAGAAATCTTTGAGGTTTGGGATGAGATAATTACTTAACGAGATGCTACAGTTATCACATCCATTAATAATCTTAGAAAAGTATATTAAAAAAAAGGTCTCTGATATTTTCTCTTGAAACTGTTAATTAACGAGATAATTGCGTCAGGACCATTGATCTATATCAAACCTTATTAATTATGAAAATCATCTTGGCAGTGAATGATGTCTTTCAATATTTTCTCTCAACAATCGTTCGATATTTCAACTCATCATTTTCCTTATTGAGTTGTATTATAACTGCATTTCTGTTTAGTTTTCGAAAACTCGAAGAACATGAGTCTCTCTATTAATTAGTACCGAAATAAATTGTTTATCAATAATTATTGATTACACTTACTGATAAATGTTGGACACAACACAGTTCTGGAAATAAGAAGTAAAGGAAAAGGAAACGATTAATTGTTTCATTATCGAGGAAATTATTAATTTCAGAAAATGTCGAGAGCGGTCTTCTTTGAGATTTTGTAAAGTTTGAAATAACCTTTTGAGGTTTTGAAATGGAATGATTACTTGAGAAGATGATAGAATCATCTGATTAATTAGTGATTTTAGTAAAAAAAAATGGCACACAGAACATTCTGCGGTATTTTATCTTGCTAATCGAAGGATAACAAGAGAATTGTATGAAGACGATTGCTATACTTAAATGATCTTAATTAATTATAAAATTGTCTTAACGATGAGTGATGTCTTTCAAGGAAAGTTTCTCTCAATAACAATGACATATTCCAACTTATTTCATCTCTTCCTCATTTGGTTGCATTATGATTGCATTTTCGTGTGGTTTTGATAAATTTGGAAATGAGTTCTTCTATTAGTGAGTACTGAAATCAATGGTTTATCAATAATTATTGATTAGACTTGCTGATAAATGTTAGAAAGTAGTTAATTCTTCTCAGTGGCCTACGAATTTCGTGGAGAAATAATGAAATCACCTAGAACTTTGTACTGCAATGACCCCTAGACTTTCCTACCTTTGTCTCTTTTTATTGCATTTCTAACGTCTTCTTGATTAATCCAATCACGTCTAAATGGCATTAATCAATTATGTTTTTGAGTCATCTTTTCGAGATAATGTACAGTTCTATCCGTATGAAGTGTTTATATCCTAAAACCTAATTAAGTGCGTAATTGATGTGGTATTCTTTCTGTATAAACACATGATAATGGTTGTACTTTAATAACAATTTATTAGAAAATCTGTGTAATAAAAATATCACACTTTTGTAACATCAATCAATGAAAATATTAAATTAAATATTAAATCGGTGGTTTGTCAAAACTTGGATATTATTACTGAATAAAAAACATTATTGTTTAATTCTTATTTTATTTGAATTCGATTTGAAATGAAATAATTACTTCAATCCTCGTCCTCCTTATCTTCCGCTTCCGATTCTCTAAGCGCCCCCACCAAATTCGAATTGCAAACTTTCATCTCAGCATACTTTACAATTCCAATGGGATACTTGAAAAGTCTCGTGAACCTAGTTTTAAAAGTATGAAAAGCCCTCTTTCCAAAAGGTGAAACAGGCTCCTTGCTCATCTTCCTCTCGGTTTTTGTCCACTCGAGACTTCCATTGGCCTCCTTCATGTATCTCAGAGTTTCGTACCCCAATAGCGTAGAATAGCGGGGTTCCACGAATTTCTTCCGCTCGCCCTCAACATCCTCGATCGTTTTCGTCTTTTCCCCCATTTTCCTCCCCCAGGATATCGCATTGATGGCTGTATTAGTGATTAAATCACTCTCGTGTTCAGTCTCCATCGTCAGCAACTTCTGCTCGAAGGCATTGATTCTTGCACAGGGCTTCGACAGCATTTCCGAGAACTTCTCGAATACCTCGATCTCTTCTTCCTTCAGCATTTTGTCAACATTCTTCGGAGTCTCAATATTGAAATCCAAGACGACGGTACAGTCGTCATCTGTCGTCTTATCAGAGCGCTTCTTGCTACATTTCTTTCCGCATTTCTTGAAATGAAGACCAAAAGGAGCTGGGGGAATGAAGAAATTGATGCCTTCTCGTTTATCCTTATCCTCGCCAAACATCTTCTTCCTGAAAATCTCCAGCTCGTCAATTCCCCTCGTCCCTCTCCCAGAGGAATAATTCTGGAAAGACACCAGAAGCTGCTTATCCTTCACCGTTAATCCTTCGATATTCAAATCCTTGGGGATCTGCAGCCGGACGTCCAACTTGTCGAATAAATCGTGGAGTCCTCTTGTGTGTCTGTCAAGCTCCACTGCGTCAAAGTATTGAGTATTCCTGCCGGGTGGTGCAATGGGCACTTGATTCCTCTCGAAGTACCTTTTCAACCTCGTGTCAACATCCACGTTAGCCTCCGTCACGTCATCGAGCACGAACATTTCATCGAAGATCTTCCCATCTTCTTCGGACTGTCCACTTCGTCTTCGCTTCCTTGGAATGTTTGATAGATCGCGACCTTTGGCGAGATGTCGAGTGATGCAGGAGTATCGGTGTCTCACGTAGGTTCTGTTCTTCTTCATAAGGCCGGCGATCTTACTCCACTGCGGTCCCAAGTCTTCGTAAAGTTTCAGCAGTTGCATGTCTTCGGCGACTGTCCAGGAGTTGTAAGACTGGTCGGTTTTCAACATTAGGAGGGTGAACCTTCCGCTTAGTTGAACGCTTGTTCGATGAGGGAGAAGTTCTGTCGAGATTCTGGGGAAGTTCTTGCCGTATTTGGTGACTCCTTCGAGGAGCAACTCGTCCTCGTCAGTTGTGAATCTACCCTTTCTTAAGGAAGGATCGATGTTGTATTTCCAGTGAGAGTATACCTTCAGAAATCATAGAAAAGTAATATTAAGTCAACGATCATTATTTATCAACTATTGTGCATAAAGTAAAAAAATTGAAGTGAAATTTCATACGGAACATGGGAGAAATTCATACTTTTGGTGGTGAATCATTCCTTTGGAATACTCAAATATATCTTCGTCAACAATGAATGTACCAGAAAAATTATAAACAAGCAAGGAGGCAGCGAGCATGTGACTGTTTTAATGATTTCTTAGCCATTAATAAATTGATGATATGCTTCCGATGGTTTCAGAATAATAAATTTTTTTCACTCCCGGATATTTCTCCCCATTTTTGTAATTTTCGCACCCCCCCCCCCCATCCGAACTGTTTCCAACCTTCAGTATCACATTTGCTAAAGGTTTGAGGACAACCTAAGTTAGGGGAAAACCTGACCAGATAAAGTCGTCTCTTTCGAGACTCCTTAATTACTTTCCGAAATTAATTCAAAATCCTTATTTATTTATAATTACTCTTTATTCCAATTTTTAGTTCTTTTTTCATCATGGTCGTCCACTTTTTTTTAAATTTCATTGTTTGTTCACTTTTTTATTCGAATTTTTTCATTTCATCCTACAGTTTCGATATTGCGAGTATTTATCCCAATGTCAAACTGGTATGCACAGAGAAAGAAATACCAGAAAAATTACTGTCTTAGCATGGCAAAATGGGTTCATTTTGACAGACCCGGGAAATTTCACGTGCGAGCACAGAAATTTTTGCTGTGCTTCAAGATTTTTTCTCGAATTTGTATTCCCGTTGCTGGCACGTGAATTCTTTTCTGGTCCGTCGAAACCAATCCATTTTACCGTCATAGCATAGTAATTTTTTTGGTATTTTTTTCGCCGTATGAGTGCGTATTTGTTATGGTTTTAATAGGAAACATTCTGGTGCAACGAGGAAACTGCATGCCAAATTTCACGTTAATATGTCGATTTTTGCAAAAGTGAGAGTGCTAACTAGGATTTTGAGCGAAAAACCAAAAAATGGAAATATTTGGAAAACTTTGTATGAAGGAGTATGCATACCGTGATTGATTGAGATAGAAGACATCGAGACGAATATTTTGAAAAAAAAATTGAAATAGGTTGAGAAGTTTTTGAGATATTTACGAAAAACGATTTAGAAACAAATGGCGATTTCTCAAAAGCCGGCTAGATCGATTGAGCTGAAATTTAGCACAGAGTTAAGCCTCATTTATATATATCTGACAAAATTTCAGAATTTTTGGAATCATTTTAGTCCTTTAATTCTTCAATTTTCTAAAAGTTGACCATCAGGTGGACAAGTGCACATACACACAAGGTGGTCAAACTTCGTATTTTGACATTTCAGACCATTCTACATTATTCCAAAGCAAAATTCTGTAGCGAAGTGGTAAACAAGGATAAGTGCAAAAATGGAACTTTTTCAGGAGAGTTCAAAAATTTGACCACGTTTGAGAGAACTTTCTATTCAAACAACAGAAAAGTTTTCAAAAAAAATTACACTTATCCTAGTTTACCACTTCGCTACAGAACTAGAGCTACTAATCTAAAAATGGAACGATTTAAATGCTTCCATTCGGAAGGAAAAAAACTAATTTTATACTATTTTTTCCAAGAACATATTGGGTGCGAAACTTTTTAAAATATGTTATAGTTCCAACAATTTGGGCGAAAAATCCATCCATGCAATGAACATTTTTAATGCCGACCTTACCTGGTTCTTGATTCTATTATCGATGTAGAATGTCACATGACTCCAAGGGATATAGTTCCCAACCCTCAGCGACTCGACAACATTAATAAGAATCTGGTCTTCTCGAGCTGTCCATGGAACATCTTTATTCTTCAAGTTCAGTGGACCCATTAGCGTTATGTACCGAATGATGCATTGGTACCCAGACCTTCCCGTCCCCACAGCATCAGCAATCGCGTCCCAGTCTTGTTGGTTGTGGACCCCAGCAGATTTGATCAAGTCCTGATCTTCAGGGGTTGTAAACTTATATCGATTAACGTCTGGATGAAGATACACGCTCCACATGACCCGACATTCTTCTGCTGAGTGACGATTGTAGGAATCATGCGCTGCGATCTTCATCCAGTCGAATTCCCTGGAGCCTAAAGGACCGATCATCTCTCGGTAATTGCTGGGCAGCTGAAATTTCTCGAGGTCCAGATTAAACTTTTCATTCGTCTTAGAGGTTTTGGGGCCTGTTTTTGACCTGGTTTTTGCTTGCGATTGTTTCTGTCTCTGGATCTGTTTGTTCGTCTCCTTCTCGAAGTGTTCAGTGGCCGCTTGAAGACGAACAGCCATCCACAGACTATTCCTGTCTTTGACAGTCCAGCGACGCGGGGACCTCTGATACACGACCATGCCTTCTCCCCTTTTGAATTTGTTGTGTGCGTCCTCATTCCACGGGGCTCCAAACATCTGCTCATCCTTAAAGTAAGGACAACCGAACCTTTTATAAGTCAGCCTGGGAATTCCTTTGACTGCCTTGGACACGAGTTTCAGTTTCGAGGAGATCTTCTCTCGTTCTTGACGGATCTCCTGGATTCGGGCTAGAATCTGATTCTTCAGGAGATGACATTTCGAGAGGAGGGACTCGTTCATTTGAAAGGCTTCATTTATCAGGAATTCTTCAGGGGTCGATGCGGGGAGGGTATCTGCGATTGTATAGAGAGAGGATCGCGAGATTGGCTGGGATGGGAGATCTCCAGGTTCATCGATGGGGTCCGTTGATGGCTGTTGGGCTAGAGCATCTTCTAAAAGCTTTATTTCCTCGAGGATCTCTATGTCTTCCGCTAGGTCACTCATCTTCGGAACTGGCGACTTGGTAATTAAGGGGAAATACTGTGAAGCTTCGTCCTTTTACACTGAGAAAAAAAATATTTTTGCCAAATATTCATTTACTCGAGAGACGCATTTATTTTGACGTGGATACGTCTATGGTTTCAATATGGGGGGTCATTTTAGGAAATGGTCCTTATGTGCAGTGCCATCTATCAGAAGTCTAGAAAATTCTAGACATTGCGAGGTAATTCGAGAAGTTTCTTGAAATTTCGAAAAAATTCAACGAGTTTCTAGAAATTTCGAGGAAATTCAGGGAGTTTCTAGAAAATTCCAGAGAATTGAAGGAGTTTCCAGAAAATTCGAGAGAATTCAAGGAGTTTCCAGAAAAACCGACGGAATCCACGGAGATTCTAGGAAATTCGAGAAAGAAGGAAAGACCATGGACGTATCCACGGACAATTACAGCTGTATCGAAGATACAGCCGCCTGCAATTTTCTTCAAAATCGTAGGGGAGAGTGGGGTAAAATGAAACAGCGGGGCAAAACGAACTAGTCAAAAAATGACTATTTGACGCAATTCAAGCAAAAAAAAAAATTTTATCAACTTTTTTTATTATTGGAAGTACTGATGAGAATAATAATTTTCTATTCAACATTTTTTACAGATGTGCCCTTTTTATGAACCCGTCCGCTTGAAATACCTACGACCCCGCTTGAGTGGCTGCTCCTCGACTAACTTGCTTGATTTTATAAATTCTCCTGATAAAGATGATACCAGAACACTTTTCTTCTTTTTGTCTAACACTCTAGTACTACGTGAATCATTTATCAGTCTATTTACTGTAAGCCAGATCAACTGATCACTAAATTCCTGATTGCCTGCCCTGCTAGTTGCTAATTTGAAAGGGCATCTTATCAATTAACTGTTAGTGATAATTGGCAATTTTAGATATAAATTACTATAAACTGTTGATATTAATTTTGTTACGTTAACTCTTTTTCTTTATTCTCTTGTTACTTCTGTTTATCTTTACTAGTGAAATCACCTATGTACGTACTCTAATTTCTCTTATATACTGCCATGTAACTTTTGTACTACGAGCCCATCTGTCACAGGGATATATCCCCTATAAGACAGTCAAATAAATAAATGAATAAATAATAATAATTTTCTATTCGTCTGATAATTCAATTGATTATAATTCAATTGATTAGATTAGGCCGCTTACACTTTCCTTTTTCCATTCGATTGAAATTCAGCATTATATTTTCCTTTTTCCCCCTTTGGGTCTCCCCCTGAGCCTTCCCCTGGACTTTGGATTTTGCTGTTTCATTTTGTTTTCAGTTAATCCATTAACAAAATATTCTCTCGCCAAAACTTCCCAATAAGTTTTCATTCTACTGTATGGAAAATTATTATTCTCATTAGTACTCTCAAGAATAAAAAAATGTTAATAACCAAAAGTTAATAAAAAATAAAATATATTAACAGAAAAAAATTTCATTTTGCCCTACTCTCCCCTATTTCTTCAATCGAGTCATTCCTGGACGAGCCTAACTAGGTTTCAATTATAACAATCATGTTGCTCTAGAGGATGATTTTGTTGCACATGACCCGGGATGAACTCCTCTAATAATTATTCAGTTTTCCTAAATTTCTTATTTTCTAGAGGGAAGAATTTCGATTAATTTTCTAATGTTGATACTTATTGACGGATTTCACTCATGGTCATAACTACCATGATGATCTTCTAGAACATTATAATTGACATAATTGAAACCTACTGAGGATTGTCTGGGAATGACTCGTCTGGAGAAATACGGTATTGAAAAAATAAATACTTCTCCCAAGTAAATGGATATTTGATATTCTGGTGATTCAGTTATTTGATGATGATTGTCCGGTGGTCAATAACAGAAACTACTGGATGTTCTATTCTTTTTTCGTTAACTGAGTAGACAAATTATTTTTGCCAATATCCATTTATTTGGGACAAGTATTTATTTTTTCAATACTTTACTTCTCCAGTCGAGTCATTCCCAGGCAATTCTCATTAGGTTTCAATTATGATAATTAAAATGTCAATAATTATTAACATTAGAAAATTAATCGAAATTCTTTCCTCTAGAAAATAAGAAATTTAGTAAAAATTAATAATTCTTGGAGGAGTTCATCCAAGGTCATGTGCAATATGATTGTCATAATTGAAACCAAATGAGGATTACCTGTGAATAACTCGACTGTAGAAGTACAGTATTGAAAAAATAAATATCTGTCTCAAGTAATGGATATTTGACAAAAATAATTTTTTTTCTCAGTGTTTTGGTAGTTTTACATTGGTTTACTTAAACTTATTTTATCCGTTATTAATCAAAATGGTTTATGGATGTATAATTGACGATCGATTTCAATATGTACGTTTTTATTTTCGTGTTTAAGTGGAATCATTCATCATTTTTCTTCCATTCGGGTTTAATAGTCATTGATGTTGAAAGTCGCTGGCAAATTCAATATTAATTGCGTGTTGAATAAGCTCAATGTCATTGTTTTAATTACAACGTAATTGTTCATTAAAATTATTTACCGAGGCGTGGTTGTTGTATATGATGGAGAAACGTTTTGCTGGTCATTGAAGATTGACAGAATGTTGATCTGATAGTCAATTAGATATTAATGAGCTGCAAGATTCAGGATGATTTAGTTTGAATCGTCCGACTCAAGTTGCTTGTGTTTAGTTAATTTTTATTTATTATTCGATGTAAACAAAGGGAAGAGTTGAGGTTAGCTGTCACCTCAGTGGATATTGAGGCAAACTTTCCAACTAAAACTCCGCGGGATTTTGACAGTCCACCGGATGTCAACAGCGACTTTTTATTTTGTGGATGAGTTGACGTGAGTAGTACAAAAAGTAGGTACAAAAAATCATTTCTAAGCTTTTCGCGTAAAATTGGTAGTTTTTGAGGTAATTACGTAATAAACAATGGAGTGTTGTCGATTTTTACAGGTTTGGCTAATTATTGAAATATCTCGTTAGAATGCCCTTACTACTCTTTACTAAACAGTGATGCTAAAAGGAAATCAATAGAAAATGTTTCACGACTTTTTCATCTCAAATCGCTCATCATTATCCCGGTAATGAATGACGTTAGGGAAATATTACATTTTTTCTGGAGAATTTTAACGGGCCAGAAAACAGGTCTTTCAAATTCTTCTTGTAAAATTGATTGTTTTTGCTTCTCCGAAAATTGATTGTTTTTCATATTCTCTAATTTTGATTGGAAATGATGTAGAATGGTCTGAAACGTAAAAATACGAAGTTTGGCGACCCTGTCTGGATATGACCACGTCCACCGCCGCCTTCCTGGTGGTCAATTTTCAGAAAATTGAGTAATTAAGTGGCTAAAATGATTTCAAAAAGTCTAAAATTTTGTCAAATTATAGGTCTTAATGAGGACTAACTCTGTGCGAAATTTCAGCAGAATTGATCGAATAGTTTTGGAGACAAAACTATAAAATATCTTCAAAACTAGTGGACCGATTTCGATTTTTCTGTTCTCAAAATATTCGTTCGATGCCTTCTATCCAAATCAATCAAAACATGTATACCCCTTTATACGAAGTTTTCGAGATATCCCCGTTTTTCCGTTTTTTTCATAAAAAACTTTGTAAACACTCCAGCTTGTGCAAAAATAGAGATATCGACTTGAAATTTGGCCAGAAAATATGTATACCCGTTCATATTAAGTATTCGAAACATTGGAATGATGATAGCACCCATGCAGGTGGCAGTAACCACCTGAACTTTTTGCTGCTAGTTAGTGTTATGAAGCTACAAACTTTTGTAATATTTCAGACCATTAGAAGACCGTCATCGATGAATTGATGGCGAAGACAAAATAAGACATCACTTGTGAGTGAACCAACACTCTCACACTTGTGAGTCAAGCAGTGGCATGCCCACTGTCATATAGTCGCTGTCCCCTGCTTGTTTAATTAAATAATCAGAAAAATTGAAAAATAATTATTCTTAGATTTGTTTCTGGCAGGCCTACTTTCCAACAAAAACAATTTTCTCCTGAAGTCACTCATTACTGACATAAATACAAAATCAGTAGCGAAGCGCCGGCAAAACGATTTAACTCAGCTAAGTTTTCGAGGAACATCTCCGAATCACCGAGCGATACCAACATTTTTGTAATAAGCTTTTGTTCCTCGGAATTCGTTCGTTCTACAAAAAAGGTCGTAACAAAAATTTTCCTATCGGTCTTAGATTCTGAGAGGTTCATTGAAAGTTGAAATAATACACTGAGAGAAATATCGTCATAAACGGAGAGAAATATTCAATAAAAATTACGTATCTTTTCCGTAATTCCGGAGCGCAATGTGGTTACGGAACTGTCACAGAATTTTTTGAGAGCGTTCCGTAATTTTTACCAGAATTTCCTGTGAAAAATTACGATACCGTCACTGAAATTTTCTGAGTCGATTCCGTAATCGGTGAGCGAACTGTGAGTTCCGTACTTTTTATTGAACATTTCTCTCCTTGAAAAATCGCAAAACTCATTTCTTGCGCCAAATATTTCATCTCTTGACGATAAATTTTTTGGGACAAGAATTCTGGATAATGTGTCAGACAATGTCAGATTTCGGTGAAGTGTTCATGACTTGAACATGAAAATTTTATGATAAAGTGAGAATTTCTTGCCATAAGAAATCTGTTTTTTCGTGTCCGAAGATGAGAAAATGACTAAAAATATTAAAAGTTTCCATTTAGTGAATCATGAATCAGAGACTTACATATTGAATGAATAGATAATTTATGCAGAGTTCAATCGGTGTGAGTTCGAAGGGAAGCAATATTTTCTTTTCCTTCTGTCAAACTATTCTTGTCTTTTAAGGAACATTATCTCATTTCGAAAAAAGACATCACCTTTTCATTCAGTAACTTCCTCCTTAGTCCGAAGAGCACCGATTTCTTGACTGAACCCTACTAGAAATTGATCAAATATGTATGCGATGTTTTTCGTTCAAAAAATTATTTTTGTGATATCATGTCGATTTTTCTTTTAGTGTACTTGTCTGACAATTTTCTTCTTTATTAATGCTAAAGTACTGAAAAAAATTTATTGGCAAATCCTCCGGGGTGAACAAAATCAGAGTCCAATTAGAAAATTGCCTCTCCCGAGATACTTGTCACATGAAGTTTTCTTTGTTGAATAAAATCAGGGAAAACACAAATAAGATTTAAACTATTGGATGTACACCTCTTCAGTCTGAAAAATCAAGGTGTTACAGCAAATTGTTGATTTTCCACTATTTGTGGAGATAAAAAAAAATGTGTTACTCAACTCGACCAAAAATCCCGGGCTTTCGCCACTCCCTCCTCCCACCCCGTCCAATCCCATATGTTTCCGGCAACTAAGCATCGCGCAACGTTATGTTATTTCCCTCCCGCAGAGCATGCGCAGTTTCACACTCAGTAGCGAAGATGTCGGGTGACTGAAGAGAGAGGCTAAATAACGTTCGATTTTTTTTGGTTGTCATGTGAATATCGAGCCTCCCCTCAATCCAACTCCATCGAGCCCATTGACAACGTCAGTGCAAAATCATTAAGACGTTCGGATAATTTCGATAGACAATCAAAGAGCTGTCTCGATACCTCGGGAAATCGTTTCGTAGCTTTCAGTGAATAATTCATTTTTTTTTATGTGCACGAGTGCAGTGGGATGTGTTAGCGCGCGGCTTTCTCGCGCAATCGTGCTCCAGATAACCGGCCCGTTGTGAGGGCCTTATGTCAAGTCAAGTCCAGTGATTACGGTTTTACCGTGAGGTGAGGTGTGTGCCAACATGAAGAAGCTCTTCTCGAAGATTGACAACACCTCCAAGGAGACCAATAGCTATTTGGGGAAGGTGTTTGTCGTCGGAAGGCACACCGTGACCGTCGAGGAGATCCTTGCGGAAGGTAATTTTTCATTTGAAGGTTGGGGGGAATGTTATACATCACACGGATGAATATTATTGGGCTTATCGTTATCACGGTGTGATTTTCGGCTGGAGAAGTACGTACGCCCACTTAGAGGAGTCTGGCGATTTTTTGCAATATTTTTTGGGGATTGTGAAGGTGATGACGAGGGGGACCTCTGGAAAGTGCGTAAATCGGGTTGGTTGGCGATCTTGGGGACTGAAGGGCCGGTGGTCATTTGGATGATTGATTGATGAGATATTTGGTGATTGAGTAGAAGAGCTGAAAAAGATTTTTTAAGGTGGGATTGTCTGGAAGGAAACTATCTTGGGTTTTTTTCAAGTACTTCCTTGAGATTCCGTAGATGGAAGATCTGTGATTTTTTAAATAAATTTACTAGTTATTCAATCAGATTTGTGAATTATCCTCTAGGGGAGGACGGGGTAAAATGGACACTGGATTTTTTTAAAAGTACTCATAACTCAGAAACAAATTTATCAATTGAGCTCAGTTTAGGCTCATTACGAAGGGAAAGAAATGTTCTTTGCATTGGAAAAAAAATTATTGAATTTCATCAACATGCTGTCAAGCTGTTATTAACGTTTAAAAAAAGTCAAAAGTGTCCATTTTACCGCAACCTCCCCTAAATATTTATAAGCTATTAGGTTTTATTGGGAATTGTCGACAAAAAATGTCTCTTGATGAATTCTGCTATACTAAGATATGAGCATCAGTAATTTTGTTTTTGCATCTCATTTGTCAAGAAATATATTACGGTTTATTCGGCCGATATTTTTCTAACTACTGGATTAATTACAAAACAAAATTTTTCGTAATTTAATGAAACTAAACCCCTTCCCTCGAAATAATGTAATTCTTCCCCTTCACCAATTCAATATTTGATTATTAGTGCAGACTTGTTATTCGATTGGGCTTTTGTATATGGGAGAATTTATAGTCGTCCATGCAATTCAATTAATTGAGAATCAAAGGTGGTGCTCAAAAAGTATTTGATTAGTAAGGGAGGTTGGGGTAAAATGGATACTTTTGACTTTTTTTTAAATGTTAATGACGGGTTGAAATGTTGATAAAATTTAATAATTTTTTTTTTTCATTCCAAAGAAGAATTCTTTCCCTTTGTGATGAGCCTAAACTGAGCTGAGTTGATAAATTTGTTTCTGAGTTATGAGTAATTAAAACAAAAGTCTAAAGTGTCCATTTTACTCCACTCTCCCCTAGTATTATTATTGATTTTTGAAAGCGAGGCTTATCATATCTTCCATCATTTCACTGATTATGGTAGTTCAGATAAGATATTGATAGTGAGTATTTGTGACGATTTGAATTTTTCACATCCGAATTTCTGTTTTTTTTTTCTTGCAGGTGGATTTGCCATTGTATTTTTGGTCAAATCATCTAGTGGGCGATATGCCCTCAAGCGTATGTATGTGAATAATGAACATGATCTCAATGTTTGTAAAAGGGAGATACAGATTGCAGTGAGTATTCAGTTAATTAAATGTGATCTATCGTTACGATGAAGTTTAATTGATTGCAATATTTTTTAAATTTTGTTTTTGTGGTTTCAGAGTAACTTGAGTGGACACAAAAACATAATAGGATATGTAGATAGTAGTATTACTCATACCGGGGGTGGAGTGCACGAACTTCTGCTCCTCATGCCCTATTGCAAATCTCATGTGCTGCAGATGATGAATAATAGGTGAGATTTTGTTTAAAAGATGCGTTTGTCTCTTTTAATTATTCAATTATCTCAGTAATGAGCGGTGATAAGGAAAAGTCCCAAAAGATATTTTCCCCAAAAAAAGTCTCTTGAGATTTTCTCCTAGAATCACTCATGGAGATAATGTCGGAATTATGGCATACTTGAGTTTTAATGGATAATTCTGTTATTTTACTTGGGATTCATTAGGTTACAAGCTGGCTTCAGTGAATCCGAAGTTCTCCAAATATTTTGTGATGTCTGTGAAGCTGTATCAAGATTGCATCACTGTCAAACGCCAATAATTCACAGGGACCTGAAGGTACAGAAAGAGAATTAAAGGTGTAGGGGAATTATAAATTGTGACAACAGCTCGATTATACGTATTTTCTAAATATTGAGTTATTTTGATAATGAGTTTTACAGGATAATGTCACCAGGCATTTTTCGTTCGAAATTTTCTCTGCTATAAAGAGTCTCCTAACATTGTCAGCTAAGTCCACTCATTCTCAAGATAAATGCCTAATTCACCAGCAACAATCGAAAATTAACATCGAACTGAATACTTCCTATGATAGTACTTATCATAAATATCTCTGGAATTTATTACCTTGAAATTAATATCTTGAATATCTTGATATTTTATCGGCACTAAACATGGCTCCCAATATTGTTTTCTGAAGGGACTTCTTCCGTAAATAAATTCACAATTCTCAACAATGTGAAATTTCTCTCATAATGTTTATTCGTTCCCCTTACAATGATACTATCATTTATACCATCGCGCCATCAAATATTTCCTGAAATACCCAAATAAGACGTAATGGTCAATCACACCAGGTGTCATACCGGTGATTACCTGCGAGAGCTCTCTCTCGCTACTCGGACACTTATGAGTACACTGAGAAACAAACTTATTTTTTGCCAAATATCAATTTACTTGAGGGAAGTATTTATTTTTTCAATTCCGCATTTCTCTATTCGAGTCATTCGTAGGCGAGCCTCATTAGGTTTCAATTATGTCAATTATGTTGCTCTAGAAGATGATCATAACTAAATTGATCGAAATTCTTCCCTCTAGAAAATAAGAAATTTAGGAAAAATGAATAATCATTAGAGGTGTTCATTCAAGGTCATGTGCAACATAGTAATCCCTTAGAGCAACATGATTGTTATTATTGAAACCTAATCAAGCTCAACTGGGAATGACTTGATTGGAGAAATACGATTTTGAAAAAATAAATGCTTCTCTCTAGTAAATGAATATTTGCCAAAAGTAATTTTTTTTTCCAGTGTACAGATCGTACAAGTTTTATATAGAATTCGTTCAAGTGTCTGAGCCTTTGATTTGTCTTGATTTTCATATCCCTGAATTATTATTAATCTTTATAAATGTTACACGTGTGCACACGTTATTTTTTATTATTTGGAATTGCCAAGGATTAATTGATAAATCTATTATTTTAACGCGTGGTATGGATGAATGAGTGACTTTCTATTTTGGTAAGCGACTTATATTCTATTTAATTCATATGAAAGCAATCGTAGTAAATGAAAAACAATCTTGAAATAGTCATCACTGAATTTGAACGATAGTTGGTCAACAAAATTATTTAATATGCCAAAAATTTATCTAACGTTACTCGTATAATTTCGCAATTTATTCCTCTGTCTCTCAAATAAAATATCTAGTTTTGTTACACACTTTTGAAATTAATGACACACAAAAAATGAGTTAATGATATAATAAGTTTAATAAATTGTCATCCAGGTGGAGAATATTCTGTTGGCTGACTCTGGACACTACGTCCTTTGCGATTTTGGGTCAGCGACTGGTAAAGTACTCAATCCAAGTATTCAAGGCGCAGCTGCTGTGGAAGAAGAAATTAAAAAGTACACGACGCTCAGCTACAGAGCACCTGAGATGGTGGACATGTACTCTGGAAAGTCAATTACGACGAAAGCTGACATTTGGGTACAAAAACATTCTCAACTTCCTCGGAATACATTCACCATGAAAAATTATGAATCATAAAATAATTTTTATTTAATTTTACAGGCACTCGGATGTTTACTGTACAAACTCTGCTTCTTCACGTTGCCTTTTGGTGAAAGTACTTTGGCGATTCAATCCGGAAACTTTACAATTCCGGATAATTCCAGGTAAATGATTGTGGGGAGCGACAAAGTCGATTGAAATTTTCAATAAACTCAATGATTTCGAAACTATTCACAAAATAATCTGTCAAAAAATATTGTTGAATGAAATTTTGCTATAATACATTTTATTTCAGATTTTTTTCTTCTGAAAAGGATCACCTGATAGAAACAAGAAAAAAGTGCAAAGAAATTTCTTAAAATTTTCTGATACCCCAACTAGTTTCAAACATGATAATCTATAAAAAAAAAAGTTTACTAATCAAAAAATTTCTTTAATCGTCGATTCATCTCAGCCATAAAAAAATGGCAAACCTTTTCTTATACGATAAAATTTCCTCCAATTTTTCACCTCCAGATACTCCAAAGGCCTGCACAACCTAATCCGCTACATGCTGGAGCCAGATCCAGACATTCGTCCAGACATCTACCAGGTCTCCGCAATAGCCTGTCAGATTCAGGGGAAGGAGAACCCAGTGCAAAACCTCTTCAAAGTCCCCACCTGTACCTTGGACGCCCTCCCAAGTGCCACCATTGAGTCAGAGAGTGTAAAACGCTCATCATCAGTGAAAATCCCCAAGCCCTCGACAGTGTCTCTGGTGGAGGCTACCTCAGTGACCCCTCGACAACGACCAAAGGGCCAGGGCGTGACCCCAGGGCCCATCAGCCTCAGCGGCCAGATAGTCTCCCAAATATCAGGCCAGGGTAATCAAATTTCCCAGACTCAAAATTCATCGTCTTTCGTACAGGTAGCACCTCCACCACCCCAGGCCCTTCAATTCTCCCAGGTACCCCCTCACATTCCTTCTCCCAATACAAATCCACCCTTTCCCCCTGGACAGAGCCAAACATCACCTTTCGGACAGTCTCAGAGTCCATTGATTGGACATTCACCATTGACACTGCAGTCCCCAGTGACTGTTCAGGAAAAAAATTCCTTCTACTTCGAGGGAAGACAGCTGGAGGCCAGACCCACACACGTGGCTGTTACTGAGGGCAACTTGGAGGCCCTCTTCCCACCCTCAGGATATCCAGACCCATTTAAAGATGACTTGAAGTCTATGCCACCTCCTGCAAAGATACCTCCACCTGTTGCACCCAAACCTGGGTCAAATAAGGCCATTCCTAAACTCACCACTCCCACCAACTCCGGACCCAAGTTCCCACCTCCTGCGGGAGCTCCTGGCAAGCTGGCTACTCCTACCGCGAGTAAAGGGAGTGTTGGGGGAGCAGTGATAATGGCAAAACCTGTCGGGAAGCTTGAGAGCTTGAGCCAGAACATCAGTGCAAATACTTCACCTCCTGAGAGCCCGACCATGGGATCCAGGCATCGGAGGAACGTCAGTGATACTAGTGCTTTTAATAAGTAAGGATCTTTGGGTTTACTTGTATTCAAGTCTCTCTCTCTCTCTCTCTCTCTCTCTCTCTCTCTCTCTCTCTCTCT